CTATGCATGTCGTTCAAGTCCGCCCCTTCCACCAGGACTCGCGAGAAGTCGTGGCGCCTGGTTGAAGGAAGGGGAGATCCAACAAGAACGACATGTGATCCCGCAACCACACACACACACACACACGCAAGCACAAACACAAACACAACACACAAACACACACACACACACACACGCACGCAAACACAAACAAACACAACTGCACGCGTGTTTGCATATCGTTGAAACACGGATAAACAAACATACGCGGCCCATACGAAGAGCAATAGCGTAAATACGTACATGTCACGAGCATGTGCGCACGTGCGCATGCACGCACACACACACACACACACACACACGCACACACACATGCATGCATGACTACAACACAGGGAAACTTACTGATCTGCACATCCTTGACCATGTCGACAGACGCGGACAGGCTCTTAATGTTCGATGTTGTTGCTTCTGTAAGATGCGGGGTGATGCCTCTTGGCACTCATGCCAGTCAGCTGACGCAACCTGCTGATCGCGAGTGTGTCGAGGAGCGAGGAGCAAGGGCCGAGGAGTCGAAGTGGAGAGCGGGTGGGGAACAGCGAAGAACGATCGGCGAGGATCGACGGCCGAGGAGAGAGAGGGGGGGGGCGAAGAGGGATGAGGGACAGCCGAAGACGAGGGGAAAGGCAGACACCAGTAGCCAAGAGGGCGAAGCGAGGTAGGAGGACCGAAGAGGAAGGAGCGAGGAGTCGAGCTCGAGGATGCGCGTGGGATGGGCGAGAGGAGTGATCCACGAGGGTCAAAGCGAAATGCGTGGAGCGAGGAGCGCGGAGCGGGGAGCAAGGAGAACGAAGCGAGGAGGGAGACTTGAGCAGCGGCCTCGGGGCCTCTCGAAGGCATCATGGAACGATCGTAGCAAGTTTTGGGTGTCGAGGGACCCTGTCTGGAGTGTCGCGAGCTCACCCAGGTCCCTCGTGCGTGGGCGCGCTAGGTCTTGCGAGCCGCCTGGGGCATCCTTGGAACCGCCTGCGCCGGCGCCAGGGGCCCAGGAGCCATAGCCCTCTGCGTTCATGCCTGGCACACGCCCCGCCCAGAACTGTAGCAGCGATAGCCTTGGGCTTCCACATCGCATCCCACAACTCGCTGAGCAGGTGTCTACGTCGGGTTCCAGCCTCAATCAACATCTCGCTCTGAGCGGCGGCCAGACCCGCTTTCCCTGCACGCCTCTCTCACGTGCTGACCTCAGCGCTGCAGCCAATCAGGGCGAATACATGTAATGGTACCTAGCCGTTCTCATATCCTCCATAACTAGCGCCTCAGAGTGACAGGACTCACTTGATGCCGCGAAGCACGCGGCCGCACACGCGGCCGCATTAGGTCTGCAAGCGGGCGCTGCCAATGCGCCCGCCTGCCCGTAGTGCGTCGGGCATGTCGCTGCTCGTATACGTCCGCCCTCCACCGTGGCTCATGTCACCCTGTTCGGCTGCTGCGAGACGATGAGCTCGGATCGCCGATACGGTAAGCAGCTGGCGTCCATTCCCCTTGAAGGAGCTCACCCAAAGGTGGGATCTCGTCGTGCTCTTCCCTGGGGACCTCGTCCCTGGGCACTCCACCCGGGTCCCTCACCTCCGCGATGTTCGGGTGCACCTGGTTCATGAATTCGTCCGGCCCCACCTGTCCGCCGCGACCTTCGCCTTGTAGCGAATGCCCGCCAGCAGAGCACGGACAATCTCGCGGCGATCAACGGGCCGTCCGAGCGATACCAGCGGGCCAGTGTCGCACTGACGATCATGTTGACGGCATCGTCGGCAGCCCTGTCGAGGAAGCGGTTCAGGTGATCTTCGTTAAACTTGCCAGTGTCCTGGCTTCCAGCATCAGGTGCGTTCTGAGCTGGCCCTCGGGGCATGCCAGTGGCCTGGCTTGTCTGTCCGCGCGCGCGTTCGGTCTCGATGCCGCCGCGGACTCCAAGTCCGCAACTGAAAGACGCAAAGGCCTCCTTTTTTCCAAACCGCTCCTTGCAGGATTGGGAGCGGCCTCCCCGTAGTCTGAGCACGGGATGGCCAAGTGTCCAGGTGGTCTTTTCGAATTGGACCTCCTTGGCCCCCCCTCCCAGCTGCAGCTTAGAGGTGTGGCCGCCTGGGAAGATGATTTGGTCGCGCCCCTCCTCCAGCAACATCTTCGCCCTCTTGGACTGTTTGGAGGCGAGACCAAGGATGGCGGGGAGAACCTCGCCAGACCCTTCGGCTATAGTGCCAGCGAAACGGTCCCTCCTGATCGTGTCCGACCTGTCCTGGCGGCGGCATTTGCACGCCATATGGAAGGCGCCAGGTGTTTAGCATACTGCTGGGCCGCCCAACTCCGTTGACGCACGTCAATTTGGCCAAATCCATTACCCGCATCTTGTGCCCATATTATTGCGCTTTGCGGTCGACTACCTTTGCCGCCTTGAAGGCGCTGATGTTGTTGTTCGGACCCATATCTACGAGAAGGCTCAATTTGTTGGGGACCAACGTGTTCAGCTTATCTGTGGCGGCGCACACGCAACCTGAGTGATCCATTGTATGGTATCAGCTCCCGGTTGTTTCTTGAGCCGTCGCTGATGCATGATCCACTGGTCCCTTGCGACATGCATCGCCTTGGGATCCCACTTCGCATTGAACGCTTGGCTCTCTTCCCGAGTGATGGGTTCTTGACCCAGAATCCATGTAGCATGCTGAGAGCTGTCGGGCTGTGTTGGTAATACTACTCGGGCGTGTCCGCCCTCTGCAATTTGCGGCGCGACTTCCTGCAACATGCGCGCGGTGTCTGTTCGTACATCGCCCGTTCTCTCTCGACAACCTTATCCATGTCCACGTCGTCACGGCTGTGGGCACGGATGCTGCCGTGAGAATCAACGCGGCTAGTACGGCTCGTGGGTGTCTTGCACCAACTGCTGCCTGTTGCTGCTCCAAACTGTCCAGCAGCGGGTTGTTGACTGGGTCGGGCATAGTCCTGGCTGCAGATGTCCCCGCGCCCCGTAACAGCGGGATCGGCGTCGCCACCGCCTGTGGAAGAATCGTCGTGGACTGAATGGGGGTCGCATCGCCAAGTGGCCAAGCTCATCGTGGTAATCGTCGCCAGTACCTCGTCAAGCCTCCTTCGCAGGTCCGAGATCTCGCGGGCCTGCTGGATCGCCAAGATAGCCGAGGTATCCGACGCGTCGAGATGCCCAGACTACTGGCACTCAGCCACAATAATGCATGGACCTCGGCAAATAGAGCACGGCGCCACACTGTTCGCGACGTGAGCACGCGCATTGCGGCCCCAGCATTCGGCGTGGAAATGGCGTCCGCATGGCAAGCGCCACAGCTTCTCCCGCAGCGCGAGTCCCTCCGAGCACGCGGCTCACTGCTCGAACGCAATGCAAGAGATCACTGGCGTCTCTGCGGAAGGGCGTGTCCCCCGTCTCTGTGACGTCGTCTCGACCATCTCGCATGGCGGCCGGAGGTGGTTCCCGAGTGTCTGACCTCGGGGTCGACCTTGGGGTCGGCGCGTGTCCGCGCTCGGCGTCGGCGATCACGTGGCGCATGCGTCTCGCCGCGCGCTCTCGCGCCGCCTTTCTCGCGTCTGCGGTAGCCTGCATGCTGGATTGCATCATCCGAGAGATGTCTTGCAGGTAGTGCGGCAACGGCCCCATGACCTCAGGCACCCCATGGAGGTGGGTAGTGGCCCACACGCGGGAACGGTACGCCGTCTGGCACACGTTCCGATTGAAGTCGAAAGAATTCGTCAGCAATACTCCTGGCGACCATGTTCTGCGTCTGCAAGCCCACCATGGGAGCCCCAAAGACCTCGGAAGAATGCTGAGGAAACATTGGCTGCTCCGTGGAAAGCGCCGCTGGTGCCTCTAGTAGGCGGCGCCGCTGGCGCCTATAGTGGGAGTATCACTGGTAGCCGACCAAGATTCTCTGCTGATGGACTGGCGTCTGGGGTCAACTCCACGCTGGACTCCAGCCCGTCCTGCCGGCCACATCTACCCCCGTGGAGCGCATCTCGGCCATTGCAGACGGGTGTTGGCGCTGCATAACCTGCTGCTGCTCCTGGACCAAAAAGCCTGTCCAGGCCTCTGTGGCAGTCGTGCTATGGTGGGCGACCCTATCGGACAGCCAGTGGCCTGGCTTTGTGGCTCTGGTACCGCGGTGCACCACAGGGTGTAATGGCCCGTATCGCGGCTGCCAACTTGGGTTGCCGACGCTGTGCTACATGAGTTCCTCGCCCCGCACACCCGGCATCTGGATCTGAGTCCCGCTGGGCATGGCCGCCCCCGAGGCGGCACTCGCGTCCAAACGAGCCTGGCTGAAGGGCACCGGCTCGAACCTGATAGATTCAGTATGTGATGGGGGCCTCGGTGGACCATAACTCATAGGCGGCTCCTTCGGCGCAGCCATAACCACGTCGCGCACACCTGTCTGCGCGCCTGCAGCAACGGCCAGAAGGTCGCGGCGCGCGAATACGTCCACCACGGCTTGAACGGTGGCAAAGGACAGATTGGAAATGCCCCAGGGTGTCTTCGCAACCCATGAAACCACCGATCCAGTGTCCGTCTGGATCCCCGCAGGCGGCCCAGCACTTGTCGGCGTCTGTGGCTGAGCAGGCGCCCCCCCGTTGATCACCGCGCCCGCGTTGGACTCGCCGCCCAAAAGTCCCTTAGGCGTCTTTGCCCCGATGGCGCACGGGTGATCTGGCAGCTTCCAGCCGCCGTGTAAGTCCAACTCGCGTAGAGGAGCTGGGCTCGATGATCGCGACCCAAAGATTGGAGGATTCTGCCACACCTCACCTCTGCTTGCCCTTCAAGCCGGCAAGTTGGATGAGGTAGAGCGTAGAAACCCGCCCCATCATATTCCTGTGTCATCGCGATTTCGCTCACGAATCTCCAGATCCTCACGTCGTCGCGCAGTAGCAACGGCATGGACGCGAATCTCAATGCCTCGGCGGCCAGGCGCAAGCATGCCCTGATGCGCGGATCGCCTGGGAGGTAGTGACATCCGCGGATCAACTGTCCACCCGACCGTCCGTTAGGTTTGCTTTGGGCGAGAAAA